GCAAGTATGTTTGATTTCTGAGCCAGTATGCTAGAAAATAGCTTTTAATTCGGCCTTGGATGGATCAGAAGTTGTGCCACTGTGCCTGAATACACAATGGAGAGAAAGCTGTATGGTTTTTGAGAGAAAGCACAGACTTTTTTCAAACTGTCTAAATTCTACAATTTTGATGCTCAAGTCTTTACCCCTTAAATTGCAAAATTTTCTTGTTCCATCCTGAACAGCAGGTCACAGAAGAGAACTCAGGGTGCCGTTTCTGCCTGTTAGAGATGTACCCTGCCTCTGAGGTGGGCTGTGAGGGGCTGGGGACCTCCAGTGCTTCCCTCTGTCATCTGCTGATGCTGGTTGCTTTCTCCCTGACCTTCCTGCCCCTGCCTTCGGGAGACGGAAATGTGCCCATCCCCTAATCACTCGCCTGCTACTTAGCCCTCAAAAAGTGCTGAAGTCAGACGGGTTAAATTGCTGCCAGCAGTGACATTTCCTGCCCCAGCCAGGACTGGAAAAAAGGGGCAAATACAAGCCAGAGCCCTGAGTGATCAAAAAAAAATGATGAGAACCTGCAACTGGGCTGTTCTCAAGCTGCAGAGATGTGCCCTTAATTAGTTACATGCGATTAAACCAAGCCTGGTCGAGGGTCATGACATGTGTGAGGGCAAAGTGCTGTGGGGCTTCCAGGGTGCAGGTCAGCTACAGGTATGGGACAGAGGTCCCTGTTTGTTGGGGGGAGAACTGAAATCAAGGGCTAAGCTCCCTGACAGCATTTTGTAGGGTCAGGAGGAGCTGGCAGGGGAGGTCTGGCTGGAGGTCAGCAGTGGAAACACACGAAGGATGAAGTGTGCAGCCACACAACATCGAATCCCTGCATCTGCATCACAGTGTCTCCACAACCTGCAGACAGGAATGTGTGGATGTGACCTCCTGCAGTTGCAGGGGAGGTGAGAGTTTTCTGGAGTCCTAACAGGAAATTTAAGTGGATGAACTGTTGTTTTGGGGTTCTTTTACTACTTTTCACTCT